TTGAAAAGCAAGACAAAACAGTAAAAAGCACATTTTGGCTTTTTAATTTATGCAATGGTGAAAAAAAAATTGGCAAAATACATGGGGAAAAAAGCTCGAAAAACCGTGTTCGGCCTTCGGCCCAGTGTTTAATTTTGTTCGGTTTTGGCTTCGGCCAAGAATTTTCATTTCGGTGCATCCCTATTTATATTGTATTTATTTACAGAGTTATATTATGTCACACTTCTCTAGTAAGTTTCGTCTGTGTGTGAAGACAGTAGCGCAAATCCGTGAATGAATGTTCCTAAGTGAAATAAACTTCAACGGAATAAAGTTGAATGGGATTGAACTGAATTAAAGTTGAATAAACTTCAACTGGGTTGCCTGATATAAAGAGACGTAATCCCCAAAACAGAGCTTCACACTTGCGCAATACGGAAATATCTGCTAAGTGTGCTAACGTTACTTATCTTTGTCAACCTGGCAACCATGTGCACGCGCAGTCTCTCCACTGTGGATAAACACGCTTGCTTTCTGAAAATCATATCGTGGCGTCTGTACCGTGATACGTATCGTATCGTGACTTTGCTGGTGATACACAGCCCTAGCGAACAGGGTGCGCAGAGGTATGCTAATACATACGTTGACATGCGGGTAGGAAACCGAGCGTTTTGATTGGATGAACATTTCTGAATCTGATCCTACGCCTTCCACAGAATATATAAATAAAGACAAATACATTTAGACCACTTAACTTAATGATTGAGTTATTAATCTCTTCACTTAATGAAGAGACTTTCAACCAGCATAACAAAAAATGTTTCTGAAGACAATCACCTATTGCACCTTTAATATTTACAAATGTATTTTAAAAGTGCACATCAAATGCTCAAAGATCAGGTTCCTTCCAGATCTGTATCGCTGTTGTAAAAGCTACGGCTCATGTACCTGTGTGCGATGGCGGGTTTGGGTCCCTCTGCTCGATAAGGAAGGTCTTCATGAAGGTATGCCAGGCCTCGGGACATACTTGCTGAAATATGGCACAACTGAGGCCAGCTCACCGGGTTCCCCTTCAGGTAATCCGTTAGCGAACCCTGCAATGCAATCCATGTTTTTATTAAATAAAATAAATTTTAACTGAAATATCTATTAATTAAAAAAAAATAATAACAACAATATATATATATACATATATATATATATATACATATATATAAAATATGAAAATAAAATATAAAAAAAAAACTTAAACTTATTTTAAATCAACTAGTTTCTAAGAAAACATTTCTCATTTTCATTTACTTTTATTTACTAGCTTGATGTACTAAGAAAACTAAACTAAAACGGAAAAAAACACTATTTAGACATTAAAAAAAAACTAATAAAAATTACAAAAACACAAAAAATGCCAAAATGTTAACTAAAATTGAAATACAATGGAAAACATGGAAATAAAATCTAATTCCAATTATTCAAAGACACTTACAAATATGAATCATCACAAGCAGTTTACCATAAGAGCAACAATATTTTCAGTACACAATGGCAAGTTTCAAGTATAAGACAGATTAGCCTAGTGTTTCTTTAAATTTGCAATTATATTTTTTGACTAAGTGCTGATTATTGTTGGTTTTTATTTATTCATTCTGAATTGATGCACCTGAATACCAACAATTAATATTTATAAGCATGTCTTGAGACACAACTGTTTTTCTTTGGTGCATATTTAAAACATTATTTGGTCCATTTCACCCCACAATAAGATTGACAATAAGGAAAAATAAACCCTCACTGACCCTCTCGTGGAATTCTGTGACCAGCCACAACTCCATCTGTAGGTTTGTGCCGCGTTTTTCTGCCGAGATGTAGTGCAGAATATTCTCATGTTTAAAACCCTCGGTGAGGTAAATGTCTGTTTCGTTTTGCCACGACTGCTTGTCCTGTTAATAAACACGTTATTTCAGAATCAAGCACCATGCACACAAAATTAATTTGAGAAAAGACACACAAGCAATCCTCTTTTCAAAGTGCATGAATGTAATATTTACCTGGATGGGAAATATTTTCACCGCCACATATTCACTCAGTAACTGGGCCTTCCACACGCAGCCAAAGCGCCCTCTGGCCTTCAACTCCAGCAACTGCAGCGGCTTCAGGCCAACCAGAGGAGACGGTGGAGGAAGACCAGCATCCTAATCAAGAGAATCCAAATAAGGCTCATTTAAAAACACAGACAAGAAACAGTATCTGATGAGCAGTAAAAGTTAATCAAAGTAACATAAAAGGACATGTAGAGTGTGTGGTAAAAATGTGATATTTGGGACTAAATTACATCTAACTGCAAAATATACATTAAAAATATTTTCAACAAATCACTCATCTGAAAGAAAACTACAAGCATACCCCAATAATAATCTTAGGGTTTAAATTAAAGCATAGGGTCGCTAAATTTTTTTTACATGTTTTTGAAAAGTCTCTTATGCTCACCAAGGCAGCATTTATTTGACCATAAATACAGTAAAAATCATTCTTCAGTGTCACATGATCTTCAGAAATCATTCTGATTTGCTGCTCAAGATACATTTCTTTATTATCAATGTTGAAAACAGGTGTGCTGCTTCATATTTTTGTGAACACTGTGATACAAAGATATCCATAGTTGTCAGACCTGGCCGATGTCGACGTGTCTGTAGGGTGGTTTTCGTTGGTGGTACGTCCAGCAGGCCAGCACCAGGGCCAGACAGAGAATGGCGAAAGGAAGAAGAGAATAAACCAGCACACCCAACAGAGATGGCCCCAGCTGAGGAGGCTGGATCTTTACTGGGAGAAAACACACAACATTACGTCAGCAATAACAGATGAGGAACATAATCAGGTGTAAAGTAAAACACATGAAGCCATTATAAAATTACCCAGCTTTGGCTGAGCAGCAATTTTACATGAATGCACCAACTCTTGTATCTACCATCACCATCATGGCTGTGAGGTGACATATGGAGGCTGGTTTACCTGCGCAGACAGGACACACACACACACACACACACACACACCCACGCACACACACACAGAGAGAGCGAGAGAGACAACAGTGATGAAAGCAGTGGATCTAAAATTAGTCGCTGTAAAACGGCACAGACTGATGGGTTCTTAACTGAAGGAATTGCTAAATTAGAGAAATAAATCTAAATGTAGTAACTTTGATGTCTGCAATGAAACCACAAAGCACACCATCGTTTTCAGCCGTTCAAAACAGTTTGCATGTTTACAGTCCTCAGTGATCAGTGTCTAATGTGACCCACATTTGCATGTTTTCACTTGAGAGAATCTGGGAATCTGGGAAACTGCTGGTTTCAGAGCCATTAACCATTAAAGGGACACTCCACACAAAAATGAAAATTCTGTTATCATTTACATCAGCTTATTATTCTTGTGCTGAAAAGCGATTCAAGCACTTTTATTTTCCAAACAGTTTGATGATTTTATTTACAAATATCATAAGCATGAGTTGATTGATATGAGGTCAGTTAGATTTTAATACTTGAAGAAATTAGTACTTTTATTCAGCAAGGATGCATTAAACTGATCAAAAGTGACAGTAAAGAAATGTATAATATTTACAATAAATGCTGTTCTTTTAAACTTTCTATTCATCAAAGAACCCTGAAGAAAATTTGTATCATGTTTTCACAACAAATATTTTCGACAATGATAATAATCAGAAAAGTTTCTTGAGAAGCAAATCAGCATATTAGAATGATTTCTGAAGGATCATGTGACACTGAAGACTGGAGTAATGATGCTGAAAATTCAGCTTTGCATCACAGCAATAAATGACATTCTAAAAACAGGAAACAGTTATTTTAAATTGTAATAATATATATGTTTTTACTGTATTTTTGATCAAATAAATGCAGCTTTGGCGGATATAAGATACTTAAAATATTCAAAAATCTTACTGACCACACACTTGGTCAAACAATAGTGTATGTTTAAATAACTTCTGACCGTTTCATCCAACGAAGCTTGTAATACGTAAAGATGTTCAATTAAACAATTTTGGATTTTAAAACGTTCTTAAATCTAGAAGCAAAACTCGAAAACAAAGATTGTGATGTGCTACATTTGTTTGGCACCATATCAATGAAAAAAGGTAGTCGAATCAAACAGTGCCATTATATAAAGGAGGTTTTGATGTTACCTGTCATAACAGTTGAAGTCGTCGAGCCAGCAGCCTTTTCTGACCAGGCGGATGGTTCCGGTCAAGTTCAACCAGGAGGCGTAACAGTGCAGCCTCTTGTCTTTCTCCCCCTCACACCTCTCAAAACCGCTCTGATTGGTTTTCTCCGTCCGCCAGTTATCATTGTAGTAGACGCACTCTCTAGTCTCCACCTCTGCCTGACTGCCTCCTGACAGAAAACACAGAATAGGAGTAGATTAAAACAAGCATTTTCTTTACCAAACAGTTGTTGGTAGCCATTGATTGAAATACTATGGAAGTCAATGGCTGTCAACATTCTTCAAAATATCTTCTTTTGTGTTCAGCAGAAGAAAGAAACACATACAGGTTTGGAACAACATGAGGGTGAGTAAATGATGACAGAATTTTCATTTTGAGGTGGACTATCTCTTTAATGCACAGTATTTACATTAAACAAGTGCATTAGAAAACAAAATATGCAAACGAATGATGCATTGCAAATGATTTGAAACAAATGAAAAAATGTTTTGCTTGTGCATCTTTAAAATATATGCTAACAAGTTTGATATTTTGTTATGCATGAGACATTAAAAGTGTGGCTGCTTTTGTGGTTGGATTTATCTAGGTATTAGTCAACAAATAACTACACAAACATTTTCAGTCGCAAACGATTTTATAAGATCACAAGCAACATTTACCTGTCAATCAAAACCTTATGAGATGTTTAAACCCCCCATCAGGAACCTCAGTGTGTGTTCAACTAGCCATCAAACCTCCATACCAAAACACACAGCCACAAACCACACGCTTCATGAGTAGATGATTTAAGACCCGTGAATTGAGTTTCTGTGCTCTTTAAGAAAACCACCAAATCAAATCCAGATGTCGAATCAGCTGTCAGAAGGCACGTCTTGTCGTCTTTGTATAACCAACACCGTAACGCTGTGCATCACTGCACACATTTGCACAAAGAACTGGGTCAGGGATCGTGAGATGATTACATAGCGTAAGATCCACACTACAGGCGAGCAGAAAGACCTCCTAAGGTCAGACTGAAATGGGGGAAGATACCAGATTATGACATAATGCTGGATAGGGAACACAAGCAGAGGGCTCTGCTCATTGCATATGTTAAAAAATAAATAAAAACAAAGCCTGCCCCTTTAAATTTTGACATATAACTGCTGACCACCCTTCCCCCCTACAGCTCAACATATTCCTTTTAGTAATTAATTTTGATTTGTTTTGTCTTTTTAAATGCAACTGAACTCAATGCTTGATACATTATTATTAATAATAATTTTATTTGTTTTCTGACACCATTATAATGCTCAGTCTATAATTATTAAACAAGCTTTTATTTGTCTTTATTCTTTTAATACATTTTTTGACCAATTATTACTTCAAAATAATTTGATTTTTTTGATGTCTTATTTTTACACCACTGGCACTGAACCCGATGCTTAACTATTATTATTTTTTGTTTTTTACTAACATTTATTTGTCTTTTTTGATGTCACTTTACCTAAAGCTCAACCTATTATTATTAATATTATCAACTCGTTTTTTTTAATTTATTTATCGTCTTTTTAAATACAACTAAGCTCAATGCTCGGCACCAGTATAATGCTCAACATATAATTATTAAACACTCTTTTATTTGTCTATTCTTTTAACACATTTTTGACCAATTATTATTTCAAAACAATTAGAATTTTTCTGTCTTATTTTGACACCACTGACACTGAACCTGAAGCTTAACTATTATTGTTTTTTAACAAATAAGTATTTGTCTTTTTGATTTCTTTAACCCAAAGCTCAACCTATTAAATATCAACTAAATATAAATTATATCAATAATATCAACTAAATGTTATTTGTCTTGTCGTTTTTCTTTTAAATACAACTAAACTCAATGCTGTTTTTCTGACACCATTAAACTGAATGATAAATTTAGACTTATTAAAAAAATGTATTTGTATTTATTCTTTTTATGCCATTTTTTGCAATTACGAATTAAAAGAAATAGCTTTTTAACTGTGTTTTTTTTTGGACACCACTGGCACTGAACCTGATGCTGAACTATTATTATTTTAAAATAACTTTATCTGTTTTTTTATGCCACTTAACCCAAAGCTCAACCTATTATTAATATTATTGAATCATTTTTATTTTTATTGTCGTTTTAAACAAAACTAATCTCACTTTATTTATTATTAGTCACTTTAACTAGAAATCAAATAATTGTGTTTCTGTTTCTAGGGAGCAAAAAAGCAGATTATGCATAATGTTTGATGGGCTACACAAGCAAGGAGGTTTATGCACATTACATACTTCAAAAAAACAAAAAAACAAACACAAAGCCTGTCCCTTTAAATTTGATGTATATCCTCTGGTCAGCCATCCCCTCTGCAAACGTGACCCCACCTACTCACTAAAGCACCCAGGATCAAGAGAGATGGGGCTACAGAAGCTTTAGCACCAGAGCCCATGTTATGAGTTGACGTTCATCATGCTTTTAATGACTAAACACTCACTGATCGATCAATGTATGGCTTCTTTGTCACTAATACTGGGTGTCACATGATAAGAGTGAATTAATTACAACAGCAGTCCCCTACTTGAAACCCACAGCATTCCGCTTTCCTCATTCACAACACACACACACACACACACACACA